GCCGCCATCTTGACCTGTATCCTAACCCACTTTTTAAAATTAAATGATGCCAATAGCCCACCCCCAGCACCTTATCACGCAGAGCGCTCCCTTTGTGAGAAAGGGGTCTTCAGGGTCATTAATTCCTGCAGCCAGCTGCTCTGCTTACGTGGGGGTCAGGGGCAGAGAGCACGGCATCTCTGGCATAGCGGTTCTGTAGAACACCTGGTCGTCCATCACCTGGCATGTGCCCATGGCCCACTCCTGCTCTTGGGACCTGCTGGGCCTTAGTGTGGAGTGTCTCTGACAGCTGTCACCTCCCAGCTGCCTTCTCTGCACGTTTTCAACTTCCATCTTCTCAGATCTGTTTTCTCCATCAATCAGTCCTATCTGCTGTCTTCTATTGCAGAAATTACTCAAACTTCTGTTCTCGTACTTTTTTGCCTTGAGAGCTGATAGATTTCTTGAAGTTCAGTGAAATTTGGGAAGGACAGATAAAAGTGAGCACTCAGTTTGCCATCTCAAGTCATGACCTATGACTTGTAAATGACCCTGCTTCTATCTTATTGGGGAAAGCTGACCAGGTGGGGTGTCCTGATTAGCTTTGCTTTACCATGAGCAAGCTGATTGACCTGTTCTGGCTTATTTCCTGTCCTGTTTAAAGACAGCAAATCATAAGATGCTTCTTTATAGACATATTTCAATTAGTGATTCATTTAAATGCAGCCTAACTATACCAGCCATATCCTGTAAGAGAAATAGTTTCTGACCAGGCAGAGCTGGATTTTACAGTCAAGGGTCACCTACCTACAGAAGATAGCTCCAGGCCCCAGGTTAACTAACATCAGTATCAGCTGTGAGTTTACCTAATTAATGCTTCTGTCTTCCTACCCACTTTGGATAATTTCTTCCTTAGCTAGATTTTTTAAATGTGTTGGTGATCAAAAGTTCCTTATACTCTTTCATAGCATCTAATTTCTGGTTCTCCTGAGATTGGGTGTATCACCCACCCCACTCCACCCCTACCCCTAACCCAACTGAACTAATGGCCCACAGACACCCTTGCTCATTAGAAACTTCATCTCTACCCTCTTTCCCACTTCCCAGTAAAACAATCAAAGCACATGCCCAAATTTATTTTTATTTTGCATACATAGGAAACAGGACCCTACCAAAAGAGAACAGAAGAGAAATGAGCCAAGTGTTGCAGAGGAAAAACATGCACAGATCTGCTCCAAGTCTACTCCCAACACTGACTCTACAGGGCTCCAGCATACCAGGAGCCAGATTCACTCTAGGAGGTGGGCATAGAGGAGATGAGAATGGCTGGGAAACGTCACCACACGTGGAAATTCCACACACAGTATCAGTGTTCACTGCACCAGGTCTCACCCAGGTGCGAGGGAAAACAAAATTTATCTTACACAAACATGGGAAGATAAAATTGTGGAGTGCTACCTAAATCATTCAGTCTCTTAAGATCATTCGCCATCAAAAAGACAAATGACATATAGTCAGGGATATTTGGGGGCCACCAGCAGCACCCCGATCCACTTCCAGGGGCAGCTCTTAGTGTTCTTCTTTATTAAAACAAGTAAAGGGAAAATTTGAAGTTAAAAATGCAAAAAAAATGACCTGCAGGAAGAGAAATTTTTGGGCCCATGTAGTTGTCCTTGGTTGTAAACAGCAAATGTTGTGCTTTGTCGTCTCATCTGAATCAAGGGCCTGAGTGTTGGGAGGCACCGCAGTTAGGGACAGGAGTCAGAAGTCACAGGAGGGCGCTCAGAGACACCAGCAGCAGCATCTGTGTGCACAAACTGTGTTTCCAAGAGTGTTCATGTGGCTCCAAGCATCTCCCATGGAATTCCCCAGGAGGCTCCCAGATTCTCCATCCTTAGAAGAAGGTAGGTCTGAGTGGTCACTGCGGCCCCATCCTGATTCCTCACACCTACCCCATATATAGATATCTCAGCAGAGCAGGGATACTGAGGCTCTAGTCTGGGCATCTCATCCAGTGAGATGTCCGGATGCTCAAGTTCAAAGAGTAACAATTCCTCAAGAGGCTCCAATTAGGATTAGTTCATTTAAAAATACTAACCCCCCCACCCCACCCATCCCACTACTACACATACAGGGACCTGTGTGTCTTGGCCATGCTGCTTTGCCCTCCTCCACGTGACCCGTCAGGTCTTGGTCTGGGGTAAATACACTATCAGCACTACTCACTACTCAGAGGAACAGGACTCCCTTGCTCACTGTCAACAACCCCGGTGACTCCCTGTAAGATCCTGGGGTCAGATATGTTTCTTAGCCACCATGCACATTTCCACCCATGTCTTCTTTATTCTAAGTTTAAGTTGTCAGTCAAATCAATTCAGTACTTTTTGAAGAGATTTACCTGCAGTCCTGGGATTTAGCTTTCCTGTCTTTTTCTCAGCAAGCTGCTCCTCTTCAGAGCCCAACACATACCTGCTGAGATCAAACAAACCAAGGCCCCAGCCCGGCCCAGACTTGACGCCCTGCAGGGACACCTCTTTCTCAGGGATGATGGGACTTCCCAGCCAAATGAGCCTTTCTGCTTTGAAAGTGCTCATCAAAATCCAGCACCAGAGCTGCCTCGGGGAAGAGACTGGAGACCTCTGGTCCTGGTCAAAGACCAGGGAGCTGCTGATGTCCAGGGAAGACACGCTCGAGCCTGACCTGGAAGGACAGAACTCTACACGAGCTTCCACAAATGCATTAAAAAGGGGGAAACAGTTTTTTTCCCCATGACTGACCAAGAGCTCATAAAATGCAGTGTCTCAGTTTGGGGCAGGGAGCGATTTCCCATGAATTTAAATAAATTTCCTTAGTGATTTTCAGAGAGCCAGAAACATCCAACTTGGCCTGATTCTGAATCCTCATCCACGTGAAGGGAAAGCCATGAACAGCGCTCTCTCACCCTGGCTGTGCAGAAGGGTAGCCTCTCTCCTCTTTAGTAAGTGAGTGAAGACAGAAAAGGGCTAAGAGGCTTCTCTCCACCGAATGTCTCTCTAACAGCTTCTTGAAGAGGAAGACTGACAGGACCACAGGCTCAAACAGCTGACCCCCTGGAGCCTGTCCACCAAGCTGCCTGCTGTGTGTGGGGCTTTCCATCTAGTGGGAGGAAGCTCACCTGGGTGGGGCATCTGACCCCCTCCCTGCTCTCACTGTGCTCACCCGCACACACCGGCTCTACCCTGCCTCCTCTTGGTCTCTCTCCTAAGGATCTGGGCACGCCACTCTAAGGAGTTGACCCTCAGGGACTGTCCACACTCTGCCAGAGCACAGATTAAATAAGAAACAGAAGCAACAGAGGAGACATGGGGTGCATTCAAATATTGGTCCTCCACAGAAAACTTGACAGGGAGCTGTGCTTGCTTTGAGGAGATCAAAGAGGAATTTGCCCTCAGTGGCTCAGAAGACCATTCCTGGAAGCGAATATTGATGGGGACAGGGAAGGCGGAGTCAAAGAGCCTCTCTCTGTCTCCCTGGTGAGTGTCACACAGGCTGGCGTCAGGCAGCACCCCTGCTACTTGGCCTTCACCACCTGTTCATATGGGGGTGGGGGAGTGTTGCAGTAGGAAGGGGGTGGTGGGTAGGCTGTGCTTCCCTGCGGTGAGCTGGGTTGGACCTGGAAAGCCATCGCCATGGGATTCCCAGCAGGATTCACACCCAGTCCTCCAGGGTCACTGTAATATGGCAGCCCCAGCTGCTGGGTTCCTGAAAGACAGACAGTCTGTGTGAGAACAGCAGAAAAAACCCACTGCCTGCCACACCCAGAGCACAGCCAGGCTGCAGGGGCCGTGGAGTCCACCCCTGACCCCTGACTCAAGGGCCAACACACCCGACACAGTGGACACTTGGGATCAGGGACAAACAAGAGTGACACACAGGTCCTAGGCTTCGTGGAGCTTCTGCTTTCCTGGGGTGCAGACAACTGACAGGACACATACAAAATCACGAGGGGGGCTAAGTGACAGCAAGGACTTAACAGGATCAGGCCTGGTACAGGGCAGCGGCGTGGATGTCGCTGACCGAAGCCTGAATGATAATTCAAGGCAGCTCTGCGAACAGCTGGGGCAGCGTGTGCCAGAGAAATCTCCAACTGAGAGGGCCATGTACACTCTAGAGTCAAGAAAACCCAGGACCCCATAAGGGAAGTCAATTCACAGCTAACTGTGGAAGAGCTGGGAAAAGGACCTGGGTTCCTGACTCTCAGCCAGAACGGTCACTGGCTGCTCCACAAGCCCTCCGGGAACACAGTTTGCTGAAGAACATTTCTAAAGTACTGTTTCCATTCCCACCTGCTGGCTTACATTTTATCAGGGTGGAGATTATCTGTGATCCAGGTGAGCCCAAGTTCAAAGACAGACAAACAACCTACGGAGCAGATACCAGCAGAGCGGTGTGGGGGATCAGAATTTGCCACCCCAAAATGTGTCTCTTTGGTTTGATTATTTATTTATTTATTTTTTATTTATTTTATTTTTTTCCCCCAAAGCCCCAGTAGATAGTTGTATGTCATAGCTGCACATCCTTCTAGTTGCTGTATGTGGGACACGGCCTCAGCATGGCCGGACAAGCGGTGTATCGGTGCACGCCCGGGATCCGAACCCGGGCCGCCAGTAGCGGAGCACGCGCACTTAACCACTAAGCCATGGGGCCGGCCCCGGCTTGATTATTTATAAAGACAAAAGATTCTGAATGAAACTCTGACCTTCCCCCTAACTGCCTAAAAGAATTGAAGACAGAAGGGCCTCTCCCAGGAAGGAGATATCACTGTAGATTATTCCAGGTGTGGTAGACAGGAAGGCATGTTGCAAGGGCCATTTTATCAAAAGATCTCTTTTAGGTCCCATTGTCTATAGATGGCCCAGCAAACATTTGTTTGTCAAACATTTGCTTTCCCATCTCCATGTAAATTGCCCTCCTCCCCTGTGAAGTCCCAAACCACTACGCCCAACATCCCAACATCCCCCTTTGTCTTTAGCTGAAAATGGTATTTAAGGTGGTGGCTTTGGCCATTTTGGTGAGCTACTCAGTTTTTCTGGGTTTCTCCCATGTATACATGTTATTAAACTTTGATTTTCTCCTGTTGTTCTGTCTCATGTCAATCTAATTCTTAGACCAGCCAGAAGGACCTAGAGGGTGGAGGATTAGTTTTTCCTCTCCTACGGTGGGTTGCTGGGTCTATGAAGTCTGTTTCCCCTTGATGCTGCTGGAGGAGATTCTCTTTTCCAGGGTGAGGCTATTACATGCAGGCTAGCTCTCCAGCATCAGGCCAGGGTGCAGGACATGGGGGTCCAGAGGGCTCATGGGTGATGGTGTCACCAACTAGTGCCCCGAGGAACTCAAGGGTGGGTTTGGAAGCGGTTAACTGTTTTTATGTTAAGAAGACACAACCAGCAACCACCCTGAAGCTAACCAAGCCTCCCTACAAGAGCTATGCCCATGACTTTGCCTTAATTTTACTACGAAGATCTCTTCAGGAGGAGATTAAGCCTCATTACTGTAACCTGCAGTGTTATGTGGAAGTGTTTTCCAACTGAGCCTGTGCAAGCAAATACCCACCTCTCCCTTTTGAATATTCATTCTCCAACCGAAATAAAAGTTCTTGCTTCCCTTTGTTCAGGGGTGCCATGACTTTGGAAATGATTCCTTATGGCCTCCTATTTTCTGCAAATACATTTTACCTTGTGAGACAACTTCCACTGGTGTAGAGTCTTATTTAACTCACCGGGGGCGAGCCCACTTGGTTCGGTATCAATGGGAGGGAACAGGCTGGTCACCCTGCCCCAAATCTAGCCCCAACTCTCATTTTAATGGGTAGAAATATCAGTGCTGCTGCTTTGGAGCCAATTTTTTAGATCTTGTTACTCTGATCATGTTGATAATACTAGAGAATACTGAGCATATAAATAAAGAATTAAAGAAAGAAACCAGGAGCTTTGGGTGTTTCCTGGGCCAAGCTAATTTTGTGAGTGGACTCAAGTCTGAGTTAGGCCTCATTTAACACAGGGAGATACTCAGAGTGTCAGAGAAGTCATCCCTGTATAAATGTGTAGGGTCTTTTTTTTTGCAAATTCCTCTCTGCCACAGTTTAACTGAATAAAGATCTGATTCCTGGTAAGACACCCACCAAGGTGTGCAAGTTGTCTCAAACCTCTAAAGCTGACATAAGTCAGATCTTGGAAATCTACAAATGTGCTGAAGGAGAGAATGTAGAACAGAAACATAAGGCCAGAGAGGCACTCCAGGGTGTCAGTGGAAGCAGTCAGCCACAGATGCCACCTTTATCACCATCACCGCATCTGGCCCCCGTGTGGCCCGACAGACGGCACCTGCCTCTACTGGCACATCTTCTTGCTGCCTTGAGACATGTTTATCTACAAGCCTATGACGAGCCATGACCGTGAGTTTCTCAAGGGCAGAAATTATGTTTTATTTATCTCTGGACCCCTTTATAGTTCATACAAATAAAAAGTTAAAGATATTTTAGGGCCAGCCCCATGGCGTAGTGGTTAAGTGTGCGCGCTCCGCTGCTGGCGCCCAGGTTTGGATCCCAGGCATGCACCGACGCACCGTTTGTCAGGCCACGCTGTGGCGGCGTCCCACATAAAGTGGAGGAAGATGGGCAAGGATGTTAGCCCAGCACCAATCTTCCTCAGTGAAAAGGGGAGGATTGGCATGGATGTTAGCTCAGGGCTGATCTTCCTCACACACAAAAAAAGATATTTTAAAAAGAGGCCATTATAATTATCCAGGGAAGACATGATATGAGAAAAGAATTTGAATATGAGAGAAGAAATGGGGAGGAGAGAATGGGAGAGGTAGTCAGGAGGTATAGCCAAAGGACCTGGGGACCAACTCGACATGGAATGCTGGAAGATGGAGAAGAGGTCTAAAGAGAAAAGACCCTAGCTTCTGGTTTTGATAAGGGGGCCCACCAAGCAAGAGAGGGGCACAGGAGAAGGGAGGGCTGATGGAAATTCTACGCTGGGCCTACTGGAACCGAGGCAGCCCCAGGAGCCCTTTGTGTAGAAGCGGTAACAAAGACACGGGTGTGGTTAAAACCATGTAGGAGGTGTGCAGGGAGGGAGAAAAGACAATGGCTGAGGAGAGAATTGTGAGAAAGATAACATTCAAGATGAGAAAAGAACACAAAATTTTTAAGGTAGATGAGAAGAATGCAAAGGAGACTGGGAAGAAACAGTGAAAATACCGCAGTAAGAGTTGTGGTATGGCAGCAAAAGGAAAGGAGAATTTTTAAGAAGAAAGATGTGATTGGTACTCCACAAGGTGGAAGAGAGGTCAAAATAAGAACTGCACATTTTCAATGGATGTGGCATTTGGGATTTTTATGCCTTTACTCAATAGTTTTAGTACAGTGGTAGGTACAAAACTCCAATTGCAGTGGGCAAAAAGCTACTCCAGGGAAGGGGTGAAGACTGGACAAAGTGGATAGCTGGTAGCTAAAGGGATGCGAGGCAAAGGAAGATGTATTGTTAAAGATGGGAAATGCCTGAGCATGTTTATAGGGTGTAGGGACAGATGTACAGGAAGAGAGAGGATTTCGAGGGGAGAATATAAAGTCAGTGAGGGCAGGGACCTTTATAAGATCTGGTTCCACATTTGGACCCCACTACCTAGCCAAGAGCCTGGTGCATAGGAGGGAACCTGATACGTTGTGTCCAATGGGCAGAGAGAACCTTGAGAAGAAGGACAGGGAGCCACAGTCGTGTGGGAAGGAGGAACAGAGTGCTCATGGCAGACAGCCTCGATGCTGAGTGAAAGAGGGTGATAGGTTATTTGAGCAGATAGATTCCAAAATCGCCAAAGAAGAGATGACCACAGATGGTAGCAAAATAGTGACAAAGAGTGACAGAGCCAACCTGTAAGGGATTCAACATGGTAAGGACTTTATGCACAGGGGCAGAAGTATATAAAAGCAATAGCCAGGAGCCAAGGGGCCACCAGCTCCATCCCCTTACCCAACAGGGGTGGAACACAGGATAAGAGAACTAGCTCTTCAATTCTTAAGGTTTATGGTATATGGTTCACTTAGAGAAAGGAAATATACAGAGCCTTCCATGAAGAAGCTGGAGTTACAGGAAGACTGTTTCTCAAGTAGGCAAAGAGAAAAGGATCAGGAGAGGTGAGTAAAACAATGGCAGCCACACAGCTGCATGTTGTTTCCTCAGCGTTATCTATGATGCCAATCTGTACTGCATTCATATTACCTGGGTATGGGATGGTATGGGGACAGAAAAGGGATGGGAATGGGCTAGTGTGATATTGTGATTCATAATAAGAAATATATATTTGGTCTTTGTCCCCATTTCTGGCACAGAGCTCTTCCTAAAACTCTTGTAATTTCCTGTGATGAGAGCCATAAAGTTGTCTCTTATTACGTTAATAAGGTGACTTTTGGACCACACCTAAGGATGGGGGCTGGCTGCCAGGAGAATCAACCATGTGACTAGAGGAGTGGGACTGACACTTTCCCTGCCCTGCCCCCCAGGGGAGAGGGGCTGGAGGTGAATCAGCCACCAATGGTCAATGATTTACTCAATCTTGCCTATGAAATGAAGCCTCCATAAAAACCCAAAAGGATGGAGGTTCAGAGTTTCCACGTTGGCTAACATGTGAAGATTTGGGGAAAGTGGCTCCTGGAGAGGGCATGGAAGCTCCATGCCCCTTCCCCATACCTTGTCCTATGT